GTACGATGGCTGTGCTGACTAAGTGTAGCAAAAACATGGAGAGCAGCAGAATGAGGTGTCAGCATTCAGAATGATTAGGGCTGTTTAGTCTAGAGCTGTGTGCATGTGTGTGTGTGTTCATTTGTATCCATAGCCATTAGCAGCCATGATGAAATGGCAGTCTCATTTGCAGTTAAGCCCCATACCACAGAATGATGGCAGTAATGCCTTAAACTGTAAACAACCACATCCTGCTGCATTACTACACAGCACTGTCACAAATCATAAAATACATTAAACTGGGATCCAGTTAATGAATAAAATGCAAATATCACGCAGAAAGCCATACATGTGGTGTCATGTTGTGGTAAGAAGAGTAATGATGTGTCAGTTTAAAGGCTGCTAATTTATCTTTTATTACAACCCATTAGTGTGAAATGAATCACCGAGTTTACATCGGTATCATAACCAGCACAACTTTTTGGCCTCTTTCAGATTTTTCAGGGAACTACCTTCATCTTGATGCCGGAAGCCACACCCTGCGCAAGAAAGCCCGGCTGCTGAGCCCCGAAGTGGGGCCAGAGCAAGGCCCACTCTGCCTCCAGTTCTACTACCAGCTCCAGGGAGAGGCACAGGGCAGCCTGAGGGTCCTGCTGAGGGACAGCGACCAGGGAGAGACCCTGTTATGGGCATTAAAAGGTGACCAAGGCAGTCACTGGAAAGAGGGGCGCACCATCCTTCCTCGAAGCCCCAGAGAATATCAGGTAGATAACCGCTGAGTGTTAGCGTGTTTATGAATCCCTGAATTAAGAAGCTAACACATAAGCTGAGCTGTAATCACCTGTATGTCACTTTCTCTGGTGTAGGTGGTGTTTGAGGGGTTTTTTGAACACCCGACAAGAGGACATATCAGAATAGACAACATCCACATGAGCAGCAGCGCTGACCTGGAGCAGTGTGCACGTAAGTCCCATTCACCTGTTGGCACCTTCATTAATATGCTGGTCAGTGTTTCCGTCTGTCAGCTATCACTCTCTCCCTGCTTCACACCGGAACATTTATTCTGTGTTTTCGCCAGAGAGCGAGAGTGATGGGGGAGAAAAAAAAATCATAATATTTCTCATTTACACACACACACATCAAAAAAGTGAAGCGCAAAAAAAAAAAAGTAGGTCACAACTGCCCTTTGGGCATGGATCCTTCACTATCTTTTATTATATCTCCCACTATCTCCTAGTCTTTCCCTGTACCACCCCATCCTGCTGTTTCCTTATTTGCTCTCGTTTATCCATCTCCAGCATTATCTTCCATTCAGTCTCTGCAGTCGAGCACTGAAAATAACGTGCGTGCTTGTGCTTGATTACTGGAGAGACTCTCTACTCTGGAGCAGAGAGACAGTAGTTAACCAATGAGGCTGCTATCAGCGACTGCTGTCGGCTCACTTGTAACAATTTGCTTTGCAGAGAAAAAAGGGCAAATTTCCATGCACTCCACACGCTGGGTTAAGTTTGAAGTCCTTCATATTTCCTGATTTCACAAAAATGTATGTGAGTCTTGGTTCAGAAACAACTTTGTTTTTATTGTAAAAAGATTTAAAGGCAGAAATGAGTCGTATTATGGACTTTAGGACCAGTCAGAATATATTTGCCTTTAGTGCTGTAGTGCATTAGTACACCTTTAAGTCAAATGTTTCTGTGAGTCAAAGACGCTAGTTTTCTCACTACCGCTTCTTTATCTGTGCTGTAACTAGTTTTCCCTTCTTTTTTCTGTTCTGTCACTCTTTCTCACTTCCATAAAAGATGCCACGTCCTCCAGCAAATAATAAACAGCAGTAAAATTCAGTCCGTCTTCCCACGACCCCTTAACTTACCTCCACCCTTCCTCTTCATTCCTCAATTTCCCTTCTCGTCACTCTGCCCCTCACCCTTTTCACCCTGTTTTCCGTCTGTCTTTTTCTTCTGCCGTTAAAATCCCAAAGGAAAGAAAGAGGATGAAAACGCTGTAGAAAAAAACTTTTAAAAAAAGCGCAATCGGGGAGAGAGGGAGAATGACAAAGCAAAGAGAAGGTGAGAAATGACAGACATAACAAGAGCCACTTTCCCTCTTCCCTCCCTCTTGTCTGGCTCTCTTTATTTTCTTTCCATTTTGTAAAAATAACTGTCATCCTGGAGGATATATGGGCCTTTGGAGTCTTAAACTACCTCTGAACTCGACAAAGCTTTATTGAGTTACAAACGCCTTAACCAGGACTGCGGTGCAATTTTGCAACTCTATTAAAAAACATTTGTGTTGACATTCATTAAAACTATCAGCACCATATAAATGTAATCATCTATAATATAAGCTGAGGACATCTGTTGTTATTTTATTGCATTTCATATTGTGAAGGAAGCTTCCAACGCCATGGGCGACACATATCCTTTCACATTTACTCTTGCTCCTCGTCTAACTTAGCTTCACTAACATTTGTTTTTCCTTTCTTTTCCAGAGCCTTTGCATGCTTTACTTCCTGGCCTGAAAAGTAAGTTCTACTTCACGTGCATTTGTACTTCCTGTGCCAACATGTCTGTGCTTCCTGCTTTGTTGCTTAGCTCAGCTTGCAGCACTGCAAACCCTGTTAGTGCCTTATTACCATACAGGCTTCCACAACACACACTGTTAACTAGATAGGGGGTAAAGGTATTACTGTGCATCACTGCACATGTGCAGTACTTCTTGTAGTAGCACATGTACAAAACCAGAGTGGAGTGGGCTTTGTGAGGGGACAGGTTTGCAGGATGGATCCACTGCATTTTTCTGGCACGACTCCTTGCATGCTGGGCTGAAACACTTGATTTTGTAGTTTTTTTGAGTAAAAATAGATTTTTTTGCCTTCACACAAACAAACACGCACATGAATACATACTGCAACAGTTACACTTGACTAGCAACAATGTGCAGCTGTAACAGAGGGTGTTTCAAATATGAGCAGTGCACTGAACCATATTTGTTACAGTTTTTAATTCTTACTCAGGTTGTGTTTCATTTTATACCATAAACAATTTCTCAGATGATGTAGGGATGAAGGTTAAATCACAGGCTCAGGGTTAAATTGCTGCTTCTGGTCTGTTTCTTTGGTGTCAGTGAAATTGCAGAGCTTTTTATCAGTCCATCCATATTTGTCTTTATAATCAGTCTTTCCCATCATAGTTTCCTTTATCCTGATTCAATTTCAACAGCTTAGCATCCTCTTTCCCTGCACATCCAGCTGCTCCTGGTCCACACTCATTTACGCCTCATTTTGTCTTTCCTTCTCCTTTCCCTGCCGTCCCCTCTCCTCTGGTCCCTGATCCCCCTTACATGAAATGCAGAGCACATCACACCCAACTTTCCTTTTTTCTCTCTCATTCATCCAGAAATAGGCTAGTCTGAAAAACGATAAAAAGTCTTAGAGCGATTGTGCTACTGGATCTTTTGTTTTCGAAGTCTGGGTTGGGACCTAAACCACGAGCTGTTTGTGCTTTTGTTTAGACGCCCACAAAATACACATACTGGTCTCTTTGAAGACTTGCATATAGAAACTGGACTTCAGATTCTACCTCATGCTAACAAAACTTTTGACCACTTGGAGAATATAAAGGCTTTTTGGTGATTTGGTTCATGGAAGGCTGAGGCTTAAACCAGAGGACTCTGCTTTTATTTTGCTAGTTTCCTCAAATATTTCTGTTTGTGTGTGCGTGCGTGTGCGTGTGTGAAAACTATGAACACATAGTGTGAACTCTCAGAAGCACTTCTTATTGTCCGGCACATTAAGCTGAATGAAAACACAAAGCCATCCAAGCACCAGTGAAACCCAGGAGACAAGTTCAGAAAACTCACATCACCTGACTCATACCCCGAGTATTTGACCTAATCCTCGCTTTATCTTAAACTGTCATGTGACTCCCAGCACGACAACGCTGCTGGTTCTGACAAACACCATATTTCTTGATCCTGACCCCCAGAAAGAAGGATTAAATTTCTCCTTTTAAGAAGTGATCTCAGCCCCTTTAGGGTTTCTCTCTGGGTGAGCAGATAAAGTTACACCTCAGGTGTTGTTTATTCTTCTTAGTGTCTCGATGTGAGACAAACAAAGCGTAGTTGTTTTTGACAGTTTTAAAGTTGACCGTGAGAAATATTCATGCTGTCACAGAAAGCTTCTGTTAAAAGGAGGCAGTGACGAAGGCTTAATCTGAATTTCTAAATTGATTTTAAGGAAAACAGGAAACCCCGGCACAACCAAAATGATTGCACTATATGAACTTACAGTCTTGTTACCTTCGAAACTGTTGCAGCTCTGAGACCACCAGCAGTCAGATGCCATCTTCAAAGAAACTTTGGTGCATGGAGATGGTGAAAAAACGATAATAAGACTGAGTCGGCAATTACATTAAAGCTGTTTGTGATAATACAGATGATCACAGTGATTACCTGTGACGACATAAGCTGTTGTTGTTTACATATACAGCATCCAGACAGAAACTCAAAAACAGAAATTCCTCCATGCGCAGTGGCGTAGTTGCTGCAGGGCGGCATCGGCAACCTTTTAAAAAGATATACAAGTAGAATAAAACCAGATGGCAGCCAGTGGAGTCGAGTCCCTAATGCAAAGACACAAACTGCAGACAACTTGTGCTCATCAGTGGAGGCTGACCTGGATTGCAATGTGTTGGCAATATGTCTGCACTCATAAATAAGACAGCAAATATCAGCAAACATTTACCAGTCATTCGCAGAGTGACTGCAGTCGCTACAAGTCAGTGATTGTTTGATTGGTTGCCCCCTGCCAGGTGACCTGTGGGTACTGCTGCAAGCAGTCGCCAGATGCAAAAACACTCAGTGCACTCATAAGCAACCAGCCATTTTCCTAAGCGCCTCAGTCGGCTCCGTGAAGGCGACGCCGCGGTGTCAGGCGCTGTCAGGCGCTGTCAGGTTGTCCATCTGTGCCAGTCCGGTGATTTGATACCTCAAATTTGTGTCTTGAACTCAAAGGTTAACTGATTATATGTTGGTGGTCAAAGGTCAAGATCACCTTACAAACCAAGCTTTCGGCCATGACTTCAGAGGTCACACGCTAATTATTACAAAATGTCACACAAAGGTCTAATGGGATAAAATGACAAAGTGGCGATACTTTATATCCAAAAGGACAAAGGTCAGCTTCACTGCGACATCATAATGTTGTGCAAAAACACTTTTGTGGTCATTACATGGCAACCATAACTCAGGAACAGAAGGGGAGATGGTGACAAATCGCATTTGGTCAGACGCTGATTTGGCAGCACTCATATTTAATTCGTAGAGCGTTCACTACACATTATAGTCCAGACAGACGGCAAGTTTTTTACTATAAAATCTTCCCGGTGGATTAAAATGTACAGTAAAAACATACATACATATATTTAGAAAAAGTTTGATGTTAAGAAGACGCTCGCAGAAACATTTGAAAGTGTCTGTTGGAAGCTATCGGTTGATTATTGCACACACACTCGTGCGTCTACACAGAGAAAAGGGGCTTACTCTGGTTTTCTGTTTTGTTTGTGAAGTGAGAGGCCGGCTTTGATGCTAATTAAGTGATTCAGAAGCTGTAGTTACCAAGCATCCCTTGAAAGCTACACGTTTTAGCTTTAGCAGCCGTTCCCCCTCAAAAAGCAAAGTAACGGTCAACTTTTTCAGCCCTGGAAATTATTTGTCAGTTAATCCACCGGTGGGAAGACTCTCCGTGCAGCGCAGCTTTACAATCACAGCCAATTTTAAACCCTTAAAGAGTGCGTCTGAACTTCAAAAAAAGACTAAATTAAGCTTACTGGTTCCGTGAGGTTTTGTATCCTGCTTTGCAACTCTCCTCCATCTCTTATTTCAGCTCTTTTTTTCTCCTTCTCTCTCATCCCATCTAGTCCTCGCTCGCCTCAGTTCTATTTCCTCTTTTTTCCTTCCTGTCTTTCTTGCTCATGCACCGTCTTTCCTTTATTCTCCCCCTTTCCTTTCTCTCTCTCTCTCTTCTATAACCTCTCTCTCAGCGGGTTTCTTTCACTGCGAGTTGACAGAGTATTGAACTTTCAGACAAACCCTTTAATGCAGGATTAAAGATATCATGGCAGGATTAGCGCCCTGCCTTCTCTTCCCCACCCTTGCACCCTCTCTCCTTTCACTTTCTACCACCCCTCTCTATTTCACTCCATTCTTTCCTCCAATAATGCCTTCTTTCTTATCCTTTCTCTGCCCCTGTAATTTCCCCCTCTCCCTCTCCATCTCTTTCTCTCCGCACTCAACTTCGGTCTGATCTTGCCCCGATAAAAATGCCGCATCCCAGCAAATACACCCACTTAACACTCCCCGCCCTTTGTTCAAGTCGCCCAAGCACTGCATAATCAAGGCTTTGCATTCTCTGATCCAATCTGAACGCATGGCATGGGCCTTTGCGTGTCAATGTGCAGCTAATGCTTGTGATGTTTGCATAAATCAAAAAAAGAGAGAGAAGAGTTACAGTAAGTTAAATATTTTATAAGAAATGAAGCCTTTAATTGGTTGTTTAAATATTAACACACAGCAAAATGTTAAAGCTAAAGTGGTTTTTGCCTGATTTATTTTCTTACCTTTAAATAGCGGCGAGCACGAGAGTTTCGGCACACTGCCCTGTAGAGTAAATGACCCCTGCTTCTGTTGTTAGGTCTGTCAAGCTCTTTGTTCTCTCCAAGTTTACAATGATTTTAGGCAAACGCTATAATAAATTAGCTCTAATTAAAGCTGAATAAGCAAAAATGTTCTGCTTCTGTCCTCAGAAGACTTTGAACGCTCCTAGTTTTCGTAATGAATTCTTTTAAAGTGCTGCAAAACACATTTTAAATATGGATATAATAAGCTAAATTTCCCCTTACAAACAGTCTGGATTCTCACACCTTAATTATAGATGTGAAAGATGTGCAAATAAAGAAGATATCAAATGCTGCCATCTTTTTTAAGAAGGTATTTCGGCCACATTCAGAAGCCTTTTCAGGCTCCAGGTGGAAAATTCTGTCCAAGTAGAATTAGGAACGAAACCACAAATTAGAGTCCAACTAAACAGTCATTCTAGTTTTAATATTGTTAATTACGATAAGGAGGCTTTTCTAACATAAACGACTATTAGCATACGTGAGCTGATAGCCAAACTAATATATTTAGTTTATTACCAGAACAAAGTGTGTTTGCCTTAAATAAAACTCATTATTATTAATAGGAAAGTTAGCCAAGCATGTTAGTGTTGCAGTTTGAAGTTATAATGTTTGAAAAAGTGTCACTTTTACTGCAGCAGCATGCTTCAGTGTGTGGAGATGCTCAGAGTTTGACAGACCTGCCATGCTCACTCACACTCTGACAGGGGTGAAGTGAACATAGATCTCTAAATCTGAACTCTTTAATGCAGTCTGCATGCCTGCCTTGCTCATCTACTGAGCCAACCAGTAATGTGTCCTCCTGCCCTCCAGGGGGTGCCATATCTGGAATGGAGCCCACAGTAGACAC